AGTGTGACCCGAAAACTGACTCAAATTTCGAGATTTAGGGTCTTTTGGTCCTCGTGTGAGTATGCCCTGAGTTAGGAGTAAGGGCATACTCACACTGCGACCCCAAATCCGCAAAATATGCGGTTTTGTGAAAGGCCGATTTGAAGTTTTGGGCATGGTTCATGTCCCACTGCTCTACCTTTTCAGGTGGGACAAGATCACAACCATCTGGAGAAATGGGGATTTGGTACTTGGCTGGTCACACGGCCCCATCCACAAATTGTGCAAGAACTTTTGTGAATGATTTTTTGCCAATTTTTGAAGAAAATGCAAAAAACAAAAAGGCATTTGGAGGTGACCGCAACATCCCTTGCCCCGCGGCTTCCCAGGCCGCTGACAAAAGGGCACAAGAATAGCACATTTGCGAATTTGGTAGATCCATGTGACTGGCCTTTTCCCTTTTGGGGGGGGATTTTGGGAATATAGGTCCCTGTGTGAGTATGCCCTAAGTGGAGTGATACTTCATTTTTCAAGAGTTCTAGACCTCTGAGAGCTCTAGAAGCACTCACAATTTTTTTCGTGAGTTTAGTGTAGTGGAGCGAAAACCAATATCTTCCTCTTCTCATTTCTTTCCATTTCCGTCGACAAATGGGGTCCTGAGTAAGTAGTTTGGGGAAATAAGATCCTTGTATGACTATGGGCATCCAATGGCGACCAAGGAGGGCTGATGGAATTCAAAATGGAGCGCAAGGCGGCAGTGCTGCTGTGAGCACTGCTGGCTCTAGCGAATGTCGCGTGCGCTGCTGCCGTGGACACTGTCCTAGTGCCACGTGAGGGCGGGCGCTGCGCTGGCACATGCGCTGAACTGTCGTGGGCACTGTTTGAGTGAAATGGTGTGAGGCAGATATGGTCGTAGTCTTCCTACAGTCCAACGTTTCGCGTACATGTGGGGACCAGAGGCGCTTGATCACACCACGTCACAGGCTGACGTGGCACACGATCTAGCTTGTGGGATTTCCACGAGTTCCACATTGAAGCTCCATTAACGCAGCTGCATTCTTGCACGTGGTATAGAGCCTTGGGGATGTTGGCTACGTCCACGCCGGTGGAGACGGGTGGAGTTAGCCCTTGGTTAACCAAAGTGCGAGGGTTGTCATACAATTGGAGTGTGTGGAGGGAGATCATCAGGGAGCTATTCGTCAGCATCATCACAACGCTGGCCATCATTATCAACAGGGAGGTCATCATTAGGGAAGCTGATTTTCGTCAGGTTATTTCCTTGTCACAGTATTTGTTTTGTATCATTGTTTTGTGTCATTGTTATCAAAAACTGGGAATTAAAAATAAAAAAACGAAAACAAACAAACAAAAAACATAAAATTTGACCCCCAAACCCTAACTTCAGCTTTGAACCCGTTGACCAAGGAGCTGAAAGTGGGGGTCCCTGTTAAACCACCGGTACCTTTCCCATACGTCATTCGCGGCCACTGCGCCGGCCCTAAAATCGCGAGAGGCCGCCAATTCAATTTATCGGCGGGCGCCCTTCCATTTCATGCCCCAGTGCTTTACCCAGCGCCCCTCTTAAAAAATAGCTGGGAAAGGTACTGGTGTTTTAACCAGTTGTGCTCTCTTTACCCTTGTCCACCATTCCCTCAACCTCTTTGTCCATTTCACCTGCCTCTGCCTCTTCCTTGACCATATCCTTTATCTCCTGACCATCCTTACTTTTTGCCTACCACTTTCCACTGCATTGGCTCCCCGAATAGCTTTCGCCATGCCACAAGCTATCATAGTGACCTCTCTGGTTTCGGGCTCGCCAAACGCCCTGATATGAAACCATCCGATTACGTCCTTGCCATTCACCACCTTGGATTACCCCTTCCAGCACCCCCCGACACTTGTAATTTTGGTTCAAGCCCCATTGTGATGGTCATCCTCCAAACTATTTATTGTCACAGCTCGGCTATGCAATAACTTGTCAGGCGCCTCCTCCTTGGGCGGGTTGTCGCTTGTATGAGCCTTCCCCTTCTATAGCTTAGTTTCTTATACCTTTCACTAACACCTTCGTCGACTTAGGCTCTTCTTCTTCATCGTCGACATCATCTTCCTTTTCATCCCTTGCCTTTCCCCTCCTCTACTTTGTAGCTATGCCACGTTCATATGACCCTTCCTGCCCAGCATTTTGACATTCGACAAATTCTTATTTTTTTCTTCCATGGCATTTCCCCTTGTGCCTCATCCGAGTCTTTTGTCGACTCGTTCTGCTCAGACTACGCGAACTATATACCGAAATAATGCATATCGCTGGCTTTTCAATAACCTTGAGATCCGGCATGCTACTTTCTAAAATTTTGTTAAAAATGCCCCAACCGTTGCGAAATCCTCCCTATCCACTTTCATCACGTCCTCTATCATGAGCGAAGCATTGCCAAGATAATACTCTCTCTACATCTCCTCTTTAGAATCCTCCCACCTCCCATTTGCTTTCTTAATCACTTCCGTAACTTCCGGGACAAGCTCCCTCTTAGACATATTTTGAGACCGCCTCAAAAATTTTACAATCCTTCATTCTTGTGGTGAAGAAACTACCAGCTCAACACATCTCTAAAAAGGATCACAACACCTATTCTACTCTCCTTTAAACAAAGAGGGCTCTAGCCTTTGTATCCTTGATCCTCTGATTGCTCTTCCTTCCATCGCTTGTTCTCGTCTACTCTATATCATTAAGCATGTTATTCCCTTGTAGCTCACCCCTTTCGAAGGGTCCCGAGTGATCAAACTTCTTCTTCCAAAGACATAAGTCATTATCCTATCCCTCGACTTACACAGCTTACATTTCATTGTCTCATTTTGTCATTCAGCCTGGAGTCTGAACAACACCCCAGTTCGTTTACTACGGTAGGGACCTCAGTACGCAGCCGAGAACCCCGAACGCAGCCCCACTTATCGAACGCATCGAACCTTCGCATGCGTGCCCAGTCGAACGATACGCCGATACTCTGGACCACAACATGCATGTGTTGGCAATTCAAATTCATTTTGAGCATTTCCGATGCGCCGGCTATATGCGCCGGCTATACCTCTGACGCTCCCCTACTGTTGCCGTGCTCGCCACACTCCTGCCCGTCTGATGCCTATTTAAAAGTGTGATGTCATGATGTGTTTTGGAAGAACACCTATTTAAAGGTCAACAACAGGTAAGTTTCTGACGATCCATTGGTTTGTTGTGGAAAATCAATGTCTTAGTCGTTCTTCCAAAATACATTACTTTCATAAAATGTATATAATAAAAATTATAAAAGCAGTCCGTCGCTCAGGGTGATCCTGCTTTGCAGATGGTGAGGTAGTTCCATTGCCGGAAAAAGGGCGAATGTCCTCCCTCTCACTCGTCTCCTCTGCCAGTCGTGCTACGGATTCGGCGGTGGTTTTGCTACACGCTGGTTTACCACTGCTTGTTACCCGGGTTTTGCAGCAATTACCATTTCCACCGCGTGTTATTACGGTTTTGCAGCAATTACCATGGTGTTGTGTTACTAGGCTTTTGTAGCAATTACCATGATGTTGTGTTACTCGGGTTTTGCAGCAGTTACCATTTTCACGGGGTGTTATTAGGGTTTTGCAGCAATTACCATGGTGTTTGTGGCGGTGATTAGTGGTGGTCTTGTTTTTCGGGCTTGGCCGGGAACGCCTTGCCCGGAGATGGGCCCACCTACCTTCGTAAGGCGGCCGGCCGGTTTCCTGGCTTTTGTAATTTAAAAAAAAGAATACAAGAGAAAGAGAATACGTGTCTGCATTATTACAACAATTGTCTACAACAAACTTTTCTTTCAGCTTTTTCTGACAAGTTTTTTTTTTTTCTTCAAAAAATGGTAAAAACAAATACCCCATTTTGGACCCTGGATATCCTTCACCAGGCGGCTCCCTCAGGCTGGCATTAACTGGTTGGCTGGCAGAACCGGATATCGCAAGGACACCCAGATATCCGGCTATGGGGGAAAAATACATCCGCACTGTGAGGCTTTCGTACTTTTGCCACCAACCATGTACCCACCGCAACAATTCTGTTTCATGTCTCCTTTCTCCTTTGCGATTTTACTTCTCTAACCACCACTGCCCCTAAAGCTATTTTAAAGATTCCATTGGTTTTCCCGACCCTAGAGCACTAAGCCAGAAGTTATGGGTCTACCAGGTCCAGCAAGAATAAAAAATGCGTACTATGTCTGATCACCAGAAGGTTTTCGTGATCCCACGTTGGCTTTTTTTTTTTTTTTTTTTTTTTGCCCCCCACCTTGTGCATATTTCTCATGAACAGATCAGCAGTCTATCTCTCTCTGAAAATTGATGCTCGCCAAAGGCAACACATTCACACTTTTGTGCACTGGTGTCCCCGCCCCCTCGCGCCCCACCTTTGTTCAGGCCGCAGCTAGCGCGGAACCTGCTGCACCCTCTGCATTTCATTGGGCGCAGCAGTGGTGGTGCCTGATCAGGCCATCGAAAACTGCTTTTTTTTTTTCTTTTTTTTTTTTTTCTGCCTTCTCCTCGTCTGGGGACAGCCATATATTTTTCTCTCACCTCACCCATATTTATCAACTGGCGTTCCCAACCTACCTATGTCGCCGAGGCTGCCCCTGGTCACCCATATTTTTTTCTCACCTCACCCATGTCATGGAACATATCGTTCTTTCACGACCTACCTACCACTACACGAAAATGCCGAACATCCGTGTGACCAGGGGCAGCCTCGGTATGCTCCTTAGAAAATAATAAATGGTGGCCCAACTGCCGATTGTCAGATCCTCATCACATCACTTGGAGGCTCGAACCGCCATATCTTTGATGAAGCTGCCAGCCGCAACAAAGGTTTAGGATGATGTCAGCCTCTCGATGGGAGATCTCTGGTTTAAGAAAAACAGGTTTTGAGGCTCTTGTAGGTAAGAGTTCACATTCCAACTGTGTCTTCAAAGTTCAAACCATAACCATATTCATCGCCAATCAGTGGCAATGATGGGCAATCACATTTCCACAACATGCAGATTTTGTTTTATATTTTTTTTTAGATATATATTTTTTCCCTTTTCCCATCACTGACTGTTTTCCTTTTCACACTTTGCACAATGGTTTTTCTTTAAAGGGCACAATGTTTTTTTTAATCCCCTTTTCTTCTTTTTTTTTTCCCTCGGTATTTGTTTGTAGACTGAAATACTTGTTTTTTTTTTCTTCTGCATTTCGAAACTGAACTGCCTTGTTTTTTTTTCCCTCTGCATCTGTAAACTACTTTCTCCTCTCAGAGCAGAGAGGGGACTATGTTTCTTTTCTCGGTATTTGTAGAGACTTCTGCATTTCTAAACTGAACTAATTTTGTTTTTTCCCTCTGCATCTGTAAACTACTTTCTCTTCTCAGAGCAGAGAGGGAACTATGTTTCTTCTCTCTGTATTTGTAGGGACTGCTTTGTTTCTTCTCTCTGTATTTGTAGGGACTGCTTTCGCCTCTGGCAGCAGAGCTACGTTGTCTGCGCTTCTTCAGATTTTCTTCTAAAGGAACGACATCCGCTGTGGCTTGCAAACATATTCTTTTTTTCGACTCCAAAGTTTGCTGACAAAATCATCTTTTCACTCCAAAGTTCGAACTACCTTTTCCCGTGCCGTCTGACATCATTGCAATGCGTTCGGTAAATGCGGACGATGACGTTGCAATGCCACCAACGATCCTTGCTGTGGCAAGACGTGAAAAGGAACGCTTGCCCCCGGGAGTGGCAAGGCCACTTCTCTCTGCCAATCTCTCCTTCCGCTGACTGCTCTTATCGTCGCCGCTGCCATCGACAACAACCCCTTTCCGCCCATTGCACGCTTGGCAGGGAACGCGGCCCTTTCCGCTGCACGCGGGACAGTCATTACTTGACCTGGAAGATGGCAAGACTGATGCAACCCCTCCCCGATTCCTCCTCGTTCCTCCCCTACACTTCCTGCAGGGTAAAGAGCCGGAGCCTCCACAACCTTCACATAGGCCAAGCGCCCTTTTACAGGACAGAAAAGAAGTTGCAGCACAACAAGCGTGTCAGGAAGGCAGCATACACCCACAAAGGCGAGAGAGAGAGAGAGAGAGAGAGAGAGAGAGAGAGAGAGAGAGAGAGAGAGAGAGAGAGAGAGAGAGAGAGAGAGAGAGAGAGAGAGNAGAGAGAGAGAGAGAGAGAGAGAGAGAGAGAGAGAGAGAGAGAGAGAGAGAGAGAGAGAGAGAGACCCACATCCAGATCCAGGGGAAATTGAGTACAAGTAGCAAAAACTATTCGCACAGCATTTGTCTGGCTGTTCATGAACTACCGTGACGCAGAATGCTGCGGAATGCAACTACTGTCAGCGTTGCCAGACAAAATTGCCTCCCTTGGGAATAAAAAGGTGCATCCGATAGGAGGATGCAAGAAACACAGCTGCTGACCCTACTAAGGTTGGACGGTGATGCTGATCACCCACGCTGATCATGGGCCTCTCACTATTGAACCCACGGTCTCAGTCAATGAACAAACATCAGACAAATGCAAAGAAAATAGACAGACGGAGAGGAAAACAGAATTGACATCCAGCGGCCTAGCTCAATTGGTTAGCAATACAAGCGGCATTCAGGAGGTCGTGGGTTCAATCTCCATGGCCGCATGTGGCACTCTTCGCTGCCAACCAGCTGAGATAGTGAGCTGGATCCTCCCAGTCGGTATCAGTAAGGTCTTCAGTGAACACGGGTGTGAGCGCACGTGTGAGTGGGTTGAGTGTGGTGTGTGGGAGAGTGTTGGCTTTTTTCAGACACTACCATTACTCGATGGGGGTAGGGGAAGAATCAGAAGATGAGAACGGAGGCACAGTTAACTGGCAAAAAAATGCTTGGTCCTTGTGTTAGCCGGGCACCCACCAGCGGCCCCAACCCTGCACCCTAAAACGCGAGGGTAAAGGGGCAAACATGCCCGTTACCTCTCTCCAGTGAGAGAGAGGCAACCTCCTCCCTTCACCGAAGAGAGGAAGCTATGCTTGCAGGGGTCCCCTGTATAGCCTTAGCAGTAGTGGTAGGTAGGTAGGAAATGATGAAATAGATATGTTCCACGATGACATGACAGAACGCCAGTTAACAAATATGGGTGAGGTGAGAGAAAAATCTCTGGCTGTCCCCCGATGACGAGAAGGCAGCCTTAAAAAAAAAAAAAAAAAAAAAGATTTGACACACGAAAACAGAAATAAATTTAATAAACCTTCACTGCCCACCCTGTCCCTGAATGATACACCTATCGTGACACATGTAAGAGCCATTGACTCACCCTCAGATCATGAGTTCAAACCCTCATGGACACACCTCCCTCCCTTCAACCACCAGTACATGCAACATGCGAGCTATAGGCCATGGGGCCCTTTCAGAGGCCGGCCCGCCGCCGATTTGTTTTATCTACGGCGCGGGACCCTCCAGAATTTTAGGAGAGGCTCAATCGGGTTGTCAACTTGGACGGGGCCATGTACTGGTGCTTTAAAAAAAAAAAGAAAAAAAAAAGCACAAAGCAGCACACACATCCACCCGAGGGAGTGGTTTCCTGTTGGGTGAATGAAAAATCGCGATTCACCTTCATCGCTCGCTCCCTGCGACCGTCGGCCAAAACAGGTTACGAGCTCAAATCGTATCCAATCTACTGATTCCATAATGTTAGCCGGCTATCACCTTTTTAAATAAATGAATAAAAGAAGACAGTAGCAGTTAAAATAAACAAACAAACGCATTAAAACCAACAAACAAACAGAAACAAACTTAAACAAAACAAATAATATACAAAATAAGCCGGTAAAACGTTACCTGCGTTGGGACCTTGCCACAAACGAGTCGATTCGATTGGCGTTCAACGCGGAGGCCGCCAAGAGCACGCCGACGACGATGCCAGCAACTTCGTTTGACGTCCATGGGTAGATGCCCAATGATTCCACACCCGGAAGGACGGGAGGCATTGGGGGATGTGGGTGGTGCCTGCCAGACGATGAAAGAACGTACTGACGTTTGTGGAGAACGACAAATGCTGTGAAAATGCAAAATTGCCAAAAAAGAAAATTCACCGAGATGAAAACCAAAATCCAAACAGAGACTGTCGATATGATGTCTGGACTTGAACGGCTGTTTGCAATCAGATCAACGGCTGCTAGAGAACAACGACGAGTGAACTGCGGAGGTATTCCTGAAGCAGGCCAAAGCAGTGGACAGCTGTAGACCGACAGAAGACACAGCTGCGATAACAGCCAATGACGATTATGACACGTCAATGCAGCAACCGGGTGAAGACGACGAGGTGTCCACCACGACGTCGGCAAAACGCCGAATGTGAAACTGAAGAGGCAGCCGAGCTGATAAGCTCTGCACGACAGACGAGGAGGGGACGCAAAGCGCAAAAGAGGAAGATGGTCAGAGCACCTCGCTGCCACAGTCATCAAGTGTCTGGAAAGGATACGAAAACAACAGGAAACAGGTCACAGCAACAGGAAATGGCGATGAGTTGAAGGTGCTCAGCCCTTGTTTCAATTTGATTTGATGATAATAACGTCAGGAGAAAGGATGAGAGGAAGATGCGCAGAAGAGAGCGATGAGATTTCGTGAAAGCGATGGTGAAGGATCTGAGAATGTACCCAGAGAAGACATTCCTCCCGTGTGAAAAACAATTGATGACCAGTACAACGATAACAACATGTTGTCCTTCCACGAAGACAAACAGAACACAGGCCCACAAAAAGGAACACAGGGGTTCAACTTAACGATCCCCTGCACAAATAAACACACACACAACATGTTGCCCTTCCACAAAGACAAAAGCACACGCACAGTGAATCAAGTGAGACAAAGGCGACGGACCAAAAAACAGAAAGTGAGTCCAAGGGGAAAATAGGCACAGAAGACATCTTTCGCAACGTCACTAGCATAAAAAACTCTTGAAGAATCACAAGCATGTTTTCTTTGTTGTTGATGTTCTTCTTCTTCTTCTTCTTCTTCTTCTTCGTCGTCGTCGTCTTCTTCTTCTTCTTCGTCTTCGTCGTCGTCGTCTTCTTCTTCTTCTTCTTCTTCTTCTTCTTCTTCTTCTTCTTCTTCTTCTTCTTCTTCTTCTTCTTCGTCGTCGTCTTCTTCTTCTCCACCCTCTTCTTCTTCTTCTTCTTCTTCTTCTTCTTCTTCTTCTTCTTCTTCTGAAACAGAATCAAGAGACATCGCTCCTTTCTTCTTTCTTCTTCTTCTTCTTTCCTGTTCTTTTCCTCTGGAGTCGGTGCCATAGAGAAAGTTTGACAACATTTTCCCCAATTGAGAAAAAAAAGACTGCCGGTTCTCACGCACCCATGCTTTTTGGACTTTTCCTCAATATACTTAAAGCACCACTATACAGAGGAACACCCATCTTGCAAAAGCGAACCAAAAAAAAAAAAAATCAGAGAGAGAGAGAGGCGCAGAAGACGGGCGTTGAAGTTAAAAATGGGATCCCGCAAAATAATCATCTTTAGGGGTCCGTTGGGAAAAGTGACCCCTCCACTATCCAAAACTGGTTTCGTACCCTAGCCAGGGAAAACTTTTTTCCTCGGGTCAGCAAAATCTATCCCAAGATAGGGGTAGTTTAGTCGAACGTTACCAAACAACCAAAGCCTAAATTCAATTTAAAAAAAAAAAAAAAAAAAAAAAAAAAAAACCACCCACCCACCCACGAGGGCTACATGGTGCCTCACTACGTACCCAAGCCTGCTTTCTGCCAAACCTAACCCGCAGCCTAACCAAGCCAACTTGGGGGGCGGGGATAGGGCCTGATGCTGCTGACAGCAGTGCAGGCCTCATAAAGAAGCCTCTGCCCGGCCTCCACCGAACCCATCCACAGCCTACTGGTTGTCGTCTCGCAAGGAATTTACTGGTAATATTTATTTAAATTTTAAACTTTAAAGGCTATTTGAGTGGTGCTGTTTCTTTCAAGCCCCAAAACCTCACCAATTTTTTAAAGTCTTTCCCCCCAACCCCAAACCCCAAAACCAACCAAGGCCCCTAAAGAAGTCATTTATTCAATAGCATAGACCATCCACTCCTTGATAGAAACTTTAAAGGTTCCCCCCCGCACCCCCGTCCCCCCGCCCTACCCAACCCAACCCAACCCTGCCCCGCCCCATGTGGCCACACCCCACCCCACTGCACTTACCAAACAGATAAACAAAAGGAAAAAAAAGGGAAAAAAGGAAAAAAAGGGAAAAAAAGGAAAAAGAAAAAAAAAGAAGAAAGAAAGAAAGGGATCCCTTCTGAGTTCCTTCTGTGTTGGGGCAGTGGAGCAAGAGGGTGGGGCTTCGCTGCCAAGGAAGAAAACAAGAGGTACCGAATATGGCGGCACTGGGTCACAGGGGACGGAGGATGGCCCCCGACAGGCGACTGGGAGAAGACCACACGCTAGAGACGTAGAGAGACATAGAGAGACTTAGAGAGACGAAGAGAGACAAAGGCAAGAGTAAAGTTCTCCGTTTCTCTTGATCCTTAACAAAGATTGAACACAAAGATTGCCAAGATCTCTTCGCTTGGCCTTTCTTTTCTGACTCGTAAAGATCACTGGGTTCGTCCGGTAGGTCATCCCAGACCTCTCCGGCCCAGGTTGGCCCGACGGCCAGTCTGGCAGCAAGTACATCCAGGCCGTCCAAGCCCAGACTGAGCAGACTGAGAAGACACCTCCCTCCCTGGGTCTTTTCTAACTTGTCCAGATTCGCCGTACGGGTCATCCATCCATCCAATTCACCCATCCGTCGATCCAATTCATTCATCCCTCCCTCCCACCCGCCCACCCATCCATCCCATCCATTCCCTCCCTTCATCCCTCCC